CCTCCAGAGTCCCAGCTGATCAGGAGGAAATGGGGATTTTGCAGTAACCTTCCCCTGGAGTGGGGAATGAATGGAGATTTTACAGTATCCTTCCCCTGCCATGCCCACCAAGCCACGCCACAAAACCGGTAGTAAAAGTTTTTGAATCCCACCATTGCCCTTACATACATTGAGCAGAGAATAATAAAGACAATTGAGAGAGAAGCCTTGGTTCTTTCTTAACGTTTTCTTGGTAAGGTTTTTCAAAAGTGGCTTGCCATTGCCTCCTTCTTAGGTTGAAAAAAAGTGGCTGGCTCCAGGTCACCGAGATGTCTTTGTGCTTAAGTCAGGACTAGAATTCACCATCTCCTGGTTTCTAGCCTGGTATCTTAAGTATGTATTAGATCAAACTGTGAATTGTGAACATTTTCCATTTTAATATTCTTTGTTTGAAAAAAGGACTTAAAACATTTGAAGGGGTGGGGAAAAAAGCCACCTGGACACTTCTGAACATATTTGGAAAATCATTTGAAGCAACCACTTGATATATATGGAAGTATTTTGAGCATGTTTTTTTTGCTCAAAAAAATCAAGGTAGTGATTGGAACGGCACAATTGAAACCCCACTTCTTGTATGTATGTATGTATGTATGTATGTATGTATGTATGTATGTATGTATGTGTGTACAAAAGGAGAGGGACCTTGACTACCATCTTGACATCTTGTCTCCTCCCGCCCTCAATCTCTGCAACCAACAGCCCAATATTATGCCAAAATCATCACACTTCATTGGAAAATATCACGAGTTTAACATCTACTATGCTTACTAGAAATGAATAAAACAGCTAATGGACTTTATAGTCAGAAATATGCTGTTGAACTACATTCCAGCCACTCCTCAAATCAGCAGAGTCATATGCCAAAAGGAAAGTTACATGCGTTATATCAAAAGCACACAACAATAATCAACATCTGATTGACTAATTTGAATGTAATGCTACAGGCTTGTCACCTTTTGGAGCAGCCCTTAGCAAACTGTATTACATAGGGCATTAACCTTTCAATTGAGAACCACCAGAGGGCCGTGAAAATGCTTATACAGTACTTACGGTAATTGATACAGAGTTCATTTGTAGGATTAAGATAGAAGTCAGATCCTTCTTGATAGAATGTGTTGTAGGTGTTGCAATTCTTATTAGATATATACTATTTCTATTTCAGCCAGCAAGTTCTGCTGTGCTGTCTTATTGTTGTAAGGATAACAATGTTCCTGGGAGGAATAAGCAAAGAATTCCTGGAATGCATGCCAAGAAAATATTATCCAAGGCATTAAGGCTACCCAACTGCTCAGTTAATGCAAGCAGACGCTTATAATGTGCAGCAGTAATATAGGGAATTGTTGGGAATGGAAGAATTGTTGAGTGGAATTGTTGTGAGTGACACAAGTAAAGGCATCATTTCAAACTGGGCAGTAAAAAGGCAATAGTAAATCACTACAGTATTTAGAAGAAAACCACATGGACATAAGGCTGTATGCCTTTCCTTTATTTATTTAACTTATATGCTAAATAAATATTGAGGGATGGGTTAAAGAAAAGTGTACATCAATAACCTGCATTGTGTTTATGATACTATTCTGATAGCCAAAATGCAAATAATCTGCAAGCTCTAGCAATTAAAGTAGTGTCAGGAAATGGGACCAAAATATAAAGGAGGCCAAACTCATGAAAACAGATGCAGCAACTAAACGGAAGAATGAAGATACTGTGCAGTTCTTCTGTGAAATGGTATGCTGAGTGGGGGGGGGGGGGATTTTTTCTTCCTGTGACAAACAGCTGATTTTGCCCCCAAAACTGGTTCAATGGCATCCCAGATTTGAACAGGAACAACTAGGAATGAGCTAAAATGACCTTTGGATGACTGTATCTTACCTGGAAAGAGAATCTCAATGGTTGCAATTGTTGATAGAAGCAGACAAAGGGCTGTTTTCATCTTTTCCTTTCAGCTTTGCTTTTTTTAAAGCACACCTCGGTTTTAACTGCATGATTTTGAACTTTACTTTTTCTTTTTGACTTTCATTTTCAACTGTTAATTGACTGGTTGAATGCTGATTTATTCTAAGCCGTTGCTGAATTTTAATGTGTATTTTTGCACTTTTTTTACTGCTTTATTTTGGAGTTGTGAATCACCTTTGCTTTCACTGTATGGAAGTCGATGTTTCCTCTGGGTAGTTAAAGTGATCTAGTTTGATTTACATTAATATTGGATTTTTACTTCAAGGATTTTGTACTCTTATTAGTTTTTTAAAGCTCTGGTCTTATTTCTTTTCACCTCTAATGGGAACTTCCCTTTTTTTCCTATTTACTTTTTACTGAGGGAAATATTTCAATTTTTTTCTGAAGTTATTGTTATTGTTTATCACTTTCTCCTGTCTTTGAAGAACTATTTACCTTTTGGTGTGAAAGCTCTTAAGAACTTAAGAAGATTGATTGAGATTGGGGAATGGGCTTGTATCAAAAGAACAATTGTCAAGAGATGCTGAGTTTCAATTTATAGGAAGATTCTTTGAACAAATGCTGCAGATATATTTACAAGAGATTTATGACTTTAGGGAATGAGATGCAATTGTTGAGAAAAGTTAGATTGAACATTTTAAGAAAAAGTTTTATCATTAAGAATCAATCATTTGATTCTGAACAGATCAGAGGTAAATGGTTGAAGCAATTTATGGCAGATCAGAAGCCATAATTGGTTTTCTGCAGATAAATACAGTAGCAGATTGTTAATGGTGAGCTTCAAAGTTTAACTGCTGTTGGTTTTATGTTAACTATTTTTTCTTGTATAGTACATAGATGCCAGGTCAAATTGTTTGGGTAAACAGTTATAGAATTCATAAACTGTGGTCTTGCACAAGGGAGCGGGACACTATTCTTAAAATATATTTATCAGTATTCAACTAGGTGAGAGGAATCTATGTGTATGTTTTTTAATTGAATTTTTAATGTCTTGTTTAGCTTTACTTTTTTGTATTTTTCTCTTTTTTTTGGAATTTGTATTTTAACAGTGAATAAAATATTTTTTTAAAAGATACTGAAGTGTTAGATAGCTCTCTGCCTTTTAGGATCAATGTTAAAAGAATCAGCAGCCAAAAAATAAGTTGTAGATAGGTTATCAATACCTTAGAAAAGATATTTAGATGCTAAGATGTGTCTATATCTACAAATTATGCAGGCAATGGGGTTTTTTTTTGGTACTCTATGGAAGTTGAATAAATAAGGCAGAAATATTGACTTTTCAACTTCGGGATTAGAGAAGACACCTGAGAATATCATTAGTAGCCAAGAAAACAACTAAATGGGTCATTTAGTTCTCACTTCAAGCATAAATGACCACCTCAAATAATCATATCTTGGACACATTAAGCAAAGATGTGTGAGCACACACAGCCTCCCTGGCCCACCCCATTGGCTTAATGCCCTTAGGTACAGAAGATTCTACCATTACCTTATGGAAATAAGACAAACTGTCAATTTGTGTATGTGTAAACTGAGGATAGGCATCAAAATATCCTGAAAAAACCACTGAAATAGTTGGCTTGAAAATGGCTCACAACATCAAATTTCTCATTATCAGATCAGATTCTTTAGCCTGGCGTATGTTGGGACTGCAGCTCCCAGAATTTGTCATCAGTATGGCCTTTAATTATGCTAATGAAATATTCAAAGATCATTCAAGATTCGTTTATACTAATGCTCATATTATTGATTACTATATGTCTATATTAGGAATCTCCCCAAGTTCCCCATGTAATTCGTTGAAAACTGTTTCCATCTACAACCGAGAAGTTTGATTCAAATGAGAGACTTAGGTTTAATAAGGAGATTTAATACAGAATGGAATTCTTACATTAGAAAAGTTTTTTCCATTAAACATATAATCAATCAGTGCAATAGAAGATTGTCCAAACAGGCAATTTTCAAAAAGGCTGGAGATACCTTTTAAAAATTTGGCTTACACATTTTAAAAGTTTGATGTAGTGGTTAAAGTACTGGTCTAGAAACCAGGTGACTGTAAATTCCAGTTCAGCCTTAGGCATGAAATCCGGCTGCACGACCTTGTGCTATGCACTCTGTTAGCTCAACTCACCTTACAGGTTGCTGTTATGAGCAAAATAGAATGGAGTAGTCTATATGTTCTCTGCTTTGACACATAAAAGTAATAAAGACAGAATCAAAAAAATCTAAAGAGTACAAATTCTTCCCAATATTCCTCCAAATACAAAAACACTATTCTACTTCTGAGAAATGCATATTTTTAATAGAAATGAGTATTAAAGTTGCCGAATGCTTCTCAACAACAGTATAAATTTGCATTATTTATTTTACCATTTTAGAAATCAATTGTTATCATCCCGGTATGAATATAGGGTAGGCCCTATAAAGTGAATCCAAACCGCTGTTGAATGAGAAATCCTAAAACATTCAAAAACAAAAAGGCTGAAATCTCTTTGGAGTGGTTCCATTGTGGAAAACACCTCCCTAAAACTTAAATTTATTATGTGTGTCTTGCATTCTGTCATGATAGAGAACAAGTCCAAATCTGTCTAAAAAAATGCAGCGACAGCAACTTTTCTCAAGGGTTTGAAAATGGACACAATATTATTACCATAGAGTTAATTTAAACTGAGACAGAATATGATAAATATGTGATTACAGGGGTAGTCTTCATGACTACACTTGGGCCCAAAATTTCCACTTCTAATCAAGGTAGTTATCAAGTGAGTTGTACCTAATGTTATGACCTTTTTTGCCACAGTTGTTAAGCGAATCACTGTGGTTGTTAAGTGAATCCTGAAGTTGTTAAACAAATCCAGCTTCCTCCATTTAATCTGCTTCTTCAAAGCCAGATGGGAAAGCGATCACATGACTCCAGGACACTGCAACTATTGTAAATGCATTATAATTGCCAAACACCCAAATTTTGATCATGCGACCATGGGGATGCTGCAATGGTTCTAAGTGCAAGGGTCAGGCATAAGTCACTTTTTCACTGCTGTTATACTTTTGAATGGTGGCTAAACGAATGGTTGTAAATCATTTACTTTACTGTCTTTAAAGTAACTTTGCTTGATGTATTCATTAACCAAGCAGCTCTATTTGGATAAAAATGCAAATTCAGCATTAGGTAAGCTATTTCACTATCCAAACACAGATTTAATTTCCTAATATTTGGATTTGTAAATAATATTTGATATTACTGATCATTAAATTTATTCAAACACATTTTCCTTTAGATCAATAAGATTTGGACTTTCTTATAAAAAGCTTTACTACTCCAAAATTATAGAAAATATGAAATGAATTTTCCAAAACTATAACAAAGTATTTAGTCTAAACTAGTATTGCTGTAACTGAAAGCATCCAAGGGTCCTGCATCTTATGGATCAGCGGCATAGCAATTCTTGAAAATTACACTCATTTTTTTTTTCCAGTGAGCATCAGTCAAATACATAAATGAAATATACTGTAAAGATAATTTGAAATATAAGAACCAAAATGCCCTTAAGAACAAAGCTGAATGTAAACAGCATTATTTAAAACATGAAACGTTGATTTGTATTCAGCTTTGGTAATGTATAAAATTTCTTTATAAAGAAAATAGTTTTAATATTTGTCATTTCATAAAGACCCACAACAATTAAGGAGGCAATGCTATAACAGTGCAAGAAGATTTGTCTTTCTACAGACAAGAAATTGTCCAGGAATATATAATAAATGATGTATATAGATATATACAATATATCATTTATCATTATATATTATAATATATAATATATATTGTGTATTATATACACACATATATTTCTATACCACTGAAAGGATTCACAGAAGCTAGATGTTCATGCATAGATAAATCTTTTTTAGGGAATTTCCAATATATGTAACATATCTGGACTTCTTGTAATCTGATTATATTGCATAAAATTTAGGCTTGTGCTAAAAATAATATAGTATTGAGGTTACAACAACGTCATCTTTTCTAAAACCACTGCTAAGACCTATTCAGGTTATATAATTTTAACAGAAAAAATATAATGTAATGCTTTAATCTTGTTCCAAACCCGTTTCTTCAATTTAATTTCATGCTATACAAAGTGTGTGCAGATATTCAGAATACAAACTGATAAAGCCAATCCTATGATTTGAGATAGCTACTAGATCCTTAATAATCATCATCAGAGTTCCTATATATTTCCTATGTGTATGCAGTTCCTATAAATTTTCTGCATATAATATGACCAATATATGCAGAACCACAGATATGTTTTTGAGTGCAGTGTTACCAAATGCCAGAAGACAAATGCTTTCATTAAAAAAACTTTTGTCTGCAGCATTATTTTCTTTACTGCACATTTAAGCAATAAAAATATTCTTTGCTTTATGATTGCTTTTCCGAAGGCAATTTTACAGGTGTCAGGCCAGCTTTCTTGAAGTAGGAGACTAGTTGTTTAGGGATTTCAGCCAATACTGCCTGGGAAAGTGCCTCCCGAGGAGCCTATGAAAAAGAAAATGTATTATATAAAGTCATGAATGGTACACAGATATAAAACATTGTTTTCCATGGAACATTTCACAATATAAGAAATGTAACAGAAGAAATAGATAAAAACAGGAATAAGCAAGAATAAGCAATAAAATGCCCAGTTTTCCTACTGCTACCCAGAATTAGTAAAACTGAGTCATTTCAGTTAAAAATAATAAGATTAATTATGCATTTCCAAAACTCTAGTTTTCCTCAAACATCTTTTGCATTTTACCATACCAGCATACAAAGCAGTATTTTTTTTTAATTTCTTAAAATAATTGGTTAAGAAAGCAGAAAAAGAATATATCTTGCCTCCCATACATTTTGTCCCACCCTTGTGAATGTGGATCATATTAGTTGTTTTTTAATTCAAATATTGCAAGCAGATTTTAAGCAGAATTCAAAATTAAATCTGAATAACACGGGACTAGATGCAACAGTTTACCTAATTAAACACTAACCATAATAAAACAGAATAAAAAATACAGACAGGGAGCTCCAATTTCTGATCCAAAGGAAGAGGCCTTCTTATGCTACTACCGTAAATATGGCTAAGAAATGGGCAGAATTAAATCTGTTACAAGTTTCTGCCTCTGGAAAAAAAACCAGTATCTTTTTTAAAAAGTTCAATAACCTTCTAGAACTCTGAGTGTTTCCATAAGATCAGGGCTCCAGATACTGCTATCATCAAGAGTATGTTCAAATTAACCTATTAAGACGTAACAAGTTAAGCTTACATTTCTTGATATAAAATGTCTCTGTTATTTATCTTGATTCACAATCAACGCTGTTGTTTGTAACTAGAGTAGAGAAACCTATGATTTTCCAGATAATATGGGCTTTCCATTTTAATTTACTGCAGAGTTTAATCATTTACTTAATTGATCAATTTAATCTCTAAGGGGAAAAGATTCAAGCCCTGGTCCATATTCTTTAGTTACTTGTAGTTTAACATCCTGAAAGCAAAATGATTGAAGCAGCATAAAAGCACATACAATAAATAAAGTAAATGAATATGGAAACCTACATTTTGGAACTGTCTAAAAGGCACAAACTGGACAATATCTCGTGCAACTGGTTCCCCTGCCAATGACTTCAAGACACCATCATCCCCATCCAAAACTTCCATGGCTTTGAACTCAGCACTGCCAACACCAATAATAATGATAGACATGGGCAGCTTGGAGGCATTTACGATGGCTTGCCTAGTTTGGTCCAGATCAGTTATTTCCCCATCTGTGATTATCAGTAAAACATAGTATTGCTGCAAAAAATTAGACCAATCAATAAAAATTAAGTCAATAAAGCTTATATACTATAATGGATTAGAAAGAATAATGCAATTATTTTTAATTATCAGTTCTGATCTCAATAATTATGTTCAGTTTTTGCTTTGTTTAATTTATTTTAGAGGGCACTCAAAGAGCTGCCTATACTTTTATGAGTTATACATTGGTTTGACATTAAGATATGGATACACTCTTTTCAGTAATAGCTTCTACTTTATAGATTTTTTCTAAACAGATGTGTCTAGCTTCATATTTGAAAAGGAAATCTCTAGAGGTCTCAAACTCATGGCCCAAAGAACAGATAGTCATATTTTCTGCAGCCCATCTATGGTTCATCCACTCATCCTATCTTGCCTTGAACAATCTGCATTCACTCATTTGCCTGCAGTGCCTTGTTTACAAGCTTTCCAAGAAAGCCAGAAGGAAATTGGGAACAAATGGACATGGATTCTGAATGCAAGCAGATACCACCTTTTTCTTCTCTCTAGATCTGTCTTCCTAAGGCCTGAAGGGCAAGACTGGTGAAAAGGCAAGTGGAGGTTAAGCCTGGCACTGGCACTCAATTAGTGCATAAGGATTCATATATAATCTTGCAGAAGTGCATAAATGGTTAGGAGAAAATAAGAGACTCTCTTTGGAAAAGAGAAGGCATGAGAAACAGACTCTATATTTCTTCCACTACAGAGTCTGATTGATTCAAGAGAGAAATTCTAGCAGGCTTTCAAAATTCTTATTACAATTCCTACAATAATAAAGTAGCATTTATATAATCTCTATACTCTGTTTTCTGCTTTGGCCTACTCTGAAGCTCTGATAACCGCTAGGTCCGGTTATTACAGGGAGAAGGGTGCATAGGCAATCCCCCCCGCCACAAGGAAGATGAAGTCACATGAGGCTGCCAGGGCTACAGCAGCATATCAGTGCTGGTAGGAAGCAGCATGTTTTCCCCATATGATAGACATGAGTATAGTATTTTTCGGAGTATAAGATGCACTTTTTTTCCTCAAAAAAGAGGCTGAAAATCTGGGTGTGTCTTATACACTGAATACAGCATTTTTTGCCTCCTGAGACCCCATCCCTTCACCAAAATGGCTCTTATGGAGGCTTTCAGAGAGCTCCTGGGGACTGGGGAGGGCAGAAATGAGCAAAAAATGAGCCGTTTTTTGCCCCCCTCAGCCCCCATTAGCACTCTATAAGCCTTCATAAGGCTATGTATGCAATTCTTTTTACAAAAAGGGCTCGTTTTTGCAAAAAAACAGGCCATTTTTTGCTCATTTTTGCCCCCCCCCACGAGCACTGTGCAAGCCCCCCCCCAAGGATATTCATGGCTTTTTGGGGAGAAAAAACGGGTCCGTTTTCACGAAAAATGGGGCGTTTTTGGGAAGTTTGCAGAATGCAAAAATTCCCTCCCCCTTTGGAAAGCTCTTTAACTGATTGATGAGAATTACATTGATCAAGTGCTGGGCCAGTAGAAACAAAGTCTTAGCTGCTGCAGACTGTCAGCGATTTCCTTCTGCAGCACATGGATAAATACACCTGGAAACATCTACCTACCTACCTACTCTCTCTCTCCCTACCTACCTACTGTATCTCTCTCTCTCTCCCCCCTCTTTACCTACCTACTCACTCTCTCCCTACCTATCTACTGTATTTGTCTCTCTCACTCTTTCTATTTCTCTCTCTATCCCTCTACCTACCTACCTACCTACCTACACACACTCTCTCCCCCTACCTACCTACTGTATTTCTCTATCTTTCTATCTTTCTCTATCCCTTTATCTACCTACCTAACTACTCTCTCTCTCTCGCTACCTAACTACTGTATTTCTCTCTTTCTCTCCCTCTCACTTCATCTACCCACCTACTTTTTTTAAAAAATTGCCTCTTCAAACCCTTGGTGCATCTTATACTCTGGTGCGTCTTATACTCTGAAAAATATGGTACTCCAGGCTGCAGATCTCTCATTCATTTTACCTCCACAAACAAAATAAAGCAGCAAACAGTACCATTCTTTGGTTCTCCCCAGTTCACACTTTTCTAACTTGGGCTTTGAGATAAGGAAGTCATGGAAAAGGACATCTCTTTTTCCAAAAGAAAGGAGAAAAGAGCAGTCAAAAGAAAAGATTTGTAATACCCTTCCATGCAGAATTTCCCCAATTTGCCTGCATGGAAAAGATGACCAGGGACTAGAGGGTTTGTCCTGGTGAAAGACATCTCAATGCAGTTAGGAAGCTTTCTATGGAAGAAGCAGATAGGTAGGTAGTTGTTCCTACAAAAGGAGTTGAGAATAGTCTTTTTAGGAAGTCAACTGTAATGACTGGCTGAGATTTCTGCCAAGGATGGCAGAAAATATCTTAAATGTGTTCCACTTTTACTAAAATAGCAAAAGGCTTATATGTTTAATCAGATTATGTGGAGAAAGTAAGAAGAAATGTGTCTCCTTTGGAAACTGAAGCTTCTCTTTGAATGATCTGTCTTCTCTGGACAGCCTGAAGATTTTTTAATGGTGTGGAATTACAACTGTCAGCATCCCTCAATTGTGGCTGACGCTACTGAAAGTTGCAATTTATCAACATCTGGATGGCAATACAGAGATGAGGAATTAAAACATAATTATTACATGTAAATAACATTTGTATCAAAGAATAAAATGTTTTGGGAGTGGTGGCCATCGAACTACGTCATCCTTATGAAGCATTTGAGAAAACCTGAATTTGAGCCTCCTAAATAAAATGAAAAGTAAATGTGTAAAGCAAAACAACATCAAGCCAACTCACAGAAGCAGTTTTTTCTTGCATTGCATGAGCAGCAAATCTAGCAACATGATTTATAATTGGAGAGAAGTTTGTTGGACCATAAAGACGAATCTGAGGCAAAGCCTGTCGATAGGCATCTATAATTCCTTGGATTCCTAAAACAAGGAAATAGCAGAGTTTCTTAAAAACTTTGGACACAGTACTGTACACATTTTTCAAACCTTTCAATAAAGAAATGGGAATAGCAGTCTACTTGAATTAGATTGGTTATTTACCTACATGTCTATGGAGTTTCTCAGTCATCCAGATCATGGTTGTCCCAAAGGTGCTTTTACCAGAAAGTCCAGTTGCCTCTTGAAAAAGCACCTTTGGGATTATTTACCTATTGGTAGTTCTTGGGTTATAATGCAATTGAGACTCAGAACTCCTATCACTAAGCAATGTAGTTGTGTAGTATGCCATAATGTGATTGTGATGCTTAGCAAAGGGAATTCTGGCAGTCCTGGTTGCAGTCATTAAATGAAGACTGTGTGATGTACGTGATCGCAATTTCTAACTTCCTGCCAGCTTCCCATTGACTTTGTTTGTTAGAAGGCAGCAGGGAACATCAGAAATAGCTCGCTGTGATGTAATGAAGAGACTGGTGCACGATCGCAATCACATGACCGCAAGGAAACTGGAACAGCCAGAACTCCAAGTAGTTGTCATAAGTCACCTTCATTCAGTGCCAATGTAAGTTTGAACTATCTGTATTCTCATTTCCTTCACTCACATTTTCATGGTGGTAAAAATACCAAGTGTTTCATCTTTTAAGAGGAAAGTGGTGATAAAAACATTATTAACAACAGTATATTTGTACTATGAGGTGATTATCTTACCTAAAGGCTTGTTACTACAATCGTGTCATTCAAAATTCAAAATTAAATTCTTATCTAAAATGTTTATGTAATTTTAACAAATTCTCAAATCCAAAGTATATTGTTTAATAGTTTTTGGATACTTTTAATTTTATTTCTAAATATTTTATCCTTCTTTGAAACTGTTAACAGAATATCCTTTATACCTTTGTTTTATGACAATATCATTTAAAAAAGCTGACTTAGATCCCAAAAAGTGATGTATTAAAGAAACTAAAATGCTTTGAGAGGAAATTTTAATCATCTTGCCAAACAATAAGAAGGATTCTCTCACAGATATCAGCCATACTTCAGATGGCAAAGTGATTGGAAAAGGCCTTCAGCAACTGTTTCAGTGTTGGATAATACTAAAGGAGACAAGTGATTTGTGTTGCAAAAGAGGAACACAAAAAAGCAGTTGTGTTGACTATCAACAAAAATTAAAAATTCAACAATACTTCAAAAACTTCAATAAAAACATCTAAGAAGCTGAGTGACTTTGGACCAGCCCAACCCACAGAGTTGTTGTGTGGAAAATAGGAGTAGGAAGGTGTGTTGGGTGTGTTTGGCACCTTGAGTTATTAGCAAAAATGATAAAGGTGGGATACAAACAAACAAACACCAAGTTCATTTTGCCTCATAAAGAATTCCATAAAATTTGTAAGGTTTTATTTTGGGGTGAAAGAAAGTTATCGCATTAAAATGGGTTAGACTGCACTCAATACATATATCACATACATCCAGTATTAAATTATTTAACAAAATTCAAATTTTATTCTTTTAAATAGCTAAAACAAATTATTTCTTGGCTACGGTGTATAGTAAACTGGAGCTGCTTCTATCCTAGGCAGTGCAAACTCCTGTCTTATTTTTATAAATTAATTATTGTTCCCCCAGTTACACTAATGTTTTATCCCAAACCGAATGTTATAGAAACAAAAATTTTACTATAAGGTGAAATCATAATACTATTTACATTCTTTTAAACAGTGAATAAAGATTTCTAAAATTCATTTCTGTAGATTTGCTACAGAAATAATCATCCCCAATACTGATTATTCATAAAACTATTATTGTTCCTGTTATGATTTTAATGAAAAATCCCTTGTATCTTTTTGGTTTTTCTTTTAAAATATATTATTATTAGAAGAGAAATAAATGATTACCTTGACAATAAGGATTTGCAGGATTAAAGTTCAATGCAAATTCATGGGAAACCTGAGAATACAGACATATTAAGACATGGAATCAAAAGTAACTAAAATTTATAACAGTAATTAAAGTAAGAAACCCACCTGCCAATCTGGAGGAACTTGAGCTCCAAATCCAAAGGCAGGAAATAGCTTATCACTGAAAAATGAACCAAATGAAACAAAAATACTCAGATCAATATTTTTATTTTGTTTTAACTGCAGGTTGAACAAAAATCATATTTAACTTTAACTTGACCAAAGCTAACTGAAGCTACAAAGATATGTAGTTAGCATTATCTTTTCTAGAGGGGTAATGTTCAGAAAGCTAGGTTATAAGTTCAAGTCTTTTTTCAAACTGAAGAAGAAATGGCATTCTAATATTCTTTACCATACAAGAAGTCATAACAGTTCTTTAAATATGGTTTACTCATAAGTTTTATAATACAATGTTAAACACACAGTGCTACCTTATGAGACAGTGGATTAACAATTTTCACTCAAAAAGAACTAATAAAAATGTCAAAGGCACAGTAGACGATGAATTAATCTTAGTATCAAACATGTTGGCAGCAACTTCTAGCTCCATGAAATAAACTACCAGTTTAAAGGAAATGCAATTTATAACAATGGACCTTTTGGAATCTTTCTAGGCCTTAGTAAGTAAATAAACTGAAGATTGTAAATTTAACATACGTGTCATAATCCTGGACAACACCACCCACAGACCAGATAGCAGTGAGATATTCATTTATTCCATTTGGACTAATATAGTGAAGAGAATCTGGTGACTTTGGATCACCATTGGAACCAGTAAAATCTATCCCCACCTGATAGAAGAATAAGAAAGATCAATTAAATATTAGATAATATAGGAAACAGATTTATATTCAACAACTTTAGGTTCAGGAAAACCCAGCATGCTGCTAAAATGGCTTCTGAAAAGCCAAAGGCAAGTTGTTACTAACTTCATAGACAAAGGCAGATAGGTTGAATAAAGGTCAAACATACTCTTTATTGTATTTAATGTGTCATTAATTATAGAGAAATTATGCTATACCCAAAAGTATATTTAATTTTACTAAATGTATAAAACAGATTTAGTAAATCATAGTCATTTCTATCTTTATTACTTTTTTTTAAAAAGCATCTTAGCAAATGTTACCATTCAATTGCTATTTAGAAAAATATAAATGCTGGAGCTTACATTTAACCTAGAAATCAAATACATGATTTGATACTCACAGTGAAGTTAATTTGGCAACCACCCATGATATAATCCAGGAATGAATATTCTGTTTCAATCTGTGAAAAATCATTACAGTATTAAAAATTTTACCTTATGACGACAGAAACATCAATTGGATGAAATGAAATTATTCATACCTTACAGGATTTCAATCTAATAATGCCAGAGTTTTTGTAACTCTTCTTCTTTCTTTTCTTTTCAGGGTGAATACATTCAAATTCAACCTATATGAAAGGCATACATACAATATCAGCTTATTGATCAATGTAATCAAGATTAACACTTTAAGATTAATTGGGAATAATGACTCTAGTAAATCCAACTTAATTTTTTTGGGGGGAATAAAGATAACCAGGAAGAACTTCTATATTATTCATTCTTGACTTGTATCAAACATTATAATAAAGTACAAATACAAATGTTAAAATCATTATATGAACATAAGAATGGGGGAACCTACATTCCTTTACAAAGCGCCAAGTTACAACTGCCAGTTTACAAGTGGTCATGCTTCTATGGGTTGTTGGAAATTGTATTTCAGCCTCAGCTCAAATCCCTCAGATTTTCAATAATCCTGTCAGGGCAAATGCTAGCAGAATAACCTGCATAACTAATACTTAATTTAATGAAGACATAAGGACCTGAAATAACTAGCATTAGTAAAGTCAGAACATTGAAGTGGACTCTTCGTAAAGAATGAAAGCAGAAATTTTGTACTAGTGAGGCACAATCAGATCCAGTTACACAGAATACCCTAGAGGTGCACCTTGTAACAATTTGGATTTGTTGCATACTATAATTACTCCTCAGACATTTGAATAAAAAAGGAATGAATTTAAATATGTATTTTTAAAGGATTCAAAAATTCCTCCAACTTTATCCTTCGTCATTCAGGATGTAAAATAATCTGCCTGATCAACAGATTCCTGTGCCCAAATACAGGTACAGTATGAACTACAGTGTTTTATTTTACAATACTCTTTTTTCAATAAAAAAGATTACTTTTTTTCTCAGATACAGAATATTGAATTGTAACAAAACATGTGCATTTAAACTAAATTTCAATAGAGAATTTTACAGTTATCCTCTCAGTTTATGAATCCTCTGGGAGAGCAGTCTAATACAGACAGAGAATTAAATATTGGAGTCTCAAATGGTATAGCAGAAAACTAATAATCATTGAGAAGTTCTGCAATGGAAACTCACTGGAAAATTAAATCTATATTATAAATTACTCAATTATTATGCTACCTTTTAATTCAGCAGATTAATCAGCATGGAGCAGAAAAATTGTATTCAACTAGAGAAAAATTACTTATATTAGTGCTGCAACCAACTCAGCCATATATCTGCTTTCCCAACTCTACCAGTTCTGATTCATAAGAATCAGAATGTTATCTTCATGGAAGGCTCAAAAGAAAGAAAAATATAACTGAGAAGCATATATAACTTGTTCTATCCTCCATAAACACACACATACATCTGCACAAAAAAATATTGGGAGAATGAAAGTAACATTTTATTATCCTTCTTGGAAAAAGAATACAATGATTAAACGAATCAAATAATGTAAAATTAAAAGCTCACCGGAGAACTGTCACCTGCCTTCTGTATCTGGGACAGGGTACTTTCAAAACTGCCTATTAAATCATGTGACCCATCACTATCATAATCATAACAGTGCACCTGAAAGGAAAGAAACAGAGAGCAATAGACAAGGAGAATAACTGCTGCTCACCACTTGATCTCTCGCCTCCAACAGCTTTGAGACGTTGCATATGAATTCCCCTATCAAGTCTGAACTGGTGTTGTCATCCATATCACTAACTGCAACCTAATTGTAAGAAATAAACCCCAAAATGAGTCTTCAAGGACCACTGTGTAATATAATAGTTAGGTGTTCACTATGCAATGGGAAGGCAACTCAGATACAAAACATATTTTTAAAAATATGCATCACTGATCCAAGAATCAAATAATCCAACTACAGAAAACAAGCATTCAACTGGGAAACAGATGCAGAAATCTTAAGTGCTGTATGTGCCAGGATAAACAGTAGTCTGATGCCCTCCAGATATGTTGATATACACTTCTCAGAATACTGCTGGCAGAAAATGTCTGGGAGTTCCTGTTTTAATAAATCTGGAGCATATCAGATTGGGAAAGGCTGGCATAGGCAACATAAAGTCAAGATGAGTTTAAAGCAGAACTTAAATGTAAGATACCCAACATCAAGTAGGTGCATGAATTATACAAAATATGACAACACTGAACCACACAGTTCTCTATTTTATGAGGTTTTATGAGAACATCCATACATGCAGAAACTGCAAGGCTCATACTAAAAAAAAAACTCAAGGAAAATATGACCTGAATGTCATTGTTAAATTAAATGTTCAGCATAAAATATAAAAATCTGGAAATCATACAGATATTGTTTTGTATCAGGGCTTAAAAGGTATTTGAATAATGCAGATGTATTTAAATAAAACACAATTTTCATCTTATTGTTCTTGCTTACCTGTGATACACTAACAGTACAGGGCTAAGTTTTATGTGTAGTGTTTATGAATATGCTGTAAATATTGTGTAATATGTTCATCCTAAATAAATTTGCTTGCAATCAACTTTTAATGACACATATTGTCATTAAAAATTGTAGATGAAAATATCACAGACCAGAATAAAGAGGCCTAGGAACCAAAATTTAAAAGCAAAATCCTTTAAGACAGTCATACTGATAGAAAAGATAAGAGACTTTTTACTAGATACAAAAGTGGAAAGTATTATTTGCAATTACTTTAATAACAAAGCAAAGTTCACTATATTAAAATTTACAAAGTTGCCAGGTAAACCACTATCAAATACACCTCCTAATTGTGGGTCTGCAAATGTTATACTTAGTGGAACTGCAACTCCCATGAACAACCCTCAATGCTATTAACATATGCAAACTTACTGTACAACCTTAAGAGCAAATTTCCTTTGTTAATCTTTAAAGGAAGCAAAACTATTAATAATTAGAGACAGATCATATGGGGAGAAACAACTTAGGTATTCACTAAGAGGTGACACCAATTTGATGGCATTTATTCAATCAATCTACTAATACTACTAACAGTCACAGGATTGGGTTACTTTGGACTGTGGTAAGATATAATAGTTTTGTGCTTCCTGGCTACTCTAAAACTAAGAATAAAATGTCCTTCTCCATTTATGAAGCAACCATCTCAGAATAAATAATATGGACATTTGAAATAAATAACTGAGAATATTCTTAATGACAATTACTTTTCCTTGTCTGTTATCTTCTCTCAAGCAGCCTTAACTAAACAGGAGAAACTGCATACCTCTAAGTTTTTTCAATAGGAGGATAAACAAAGAACCTGCTGTTGCAAGGAGGAAATACTATAGAAAAAAGATTTTAGTCCAGGATCATCACCCATTCAAGAGGAAGAAGGAACTCACTGCATTTTTTTTAGCATAAGCTTATCTTACTACAAGATAGCTATGCATTTCTAATCCATCATTCTTATTTCATCCAACCTTCTCATGTCTACCTCTTCTGAATTTTTTTCATATTTTTGAAACTTTTCTCCCAACAGAGGAAGAAATCATGTTAATTATTTCAACTTATGCTTATGATGTGTTAGTTATAAACCACCATTGTGATTCATAATGCTGTATTAATATCTATTAGTAGCAGTCTTAAAATATTTCTTCTACATAAAATGTCAGATCCTATCCTGTAGCTTTTTTATATTCAATCCCAGGTTGTGAAAATTGAATGGTGGTATTTAAAATCTAAGTTAAAATCAAACGTTGAAATGTTGTATTGATGTCAGAGAGACAGACCTAGTGAGGAAGAGGAGTCAAATAAAGAATTAGTCTAGAATCCCTAGGCAAGCACAAGAAAATGGATCTAGTTCCTCCCCCCTTCTGTTGAATCTTATTTATCCTAACTCAGATACAAACCATCAGTCTGAAAATATTCCTGTATATAGGCTTCAGCAATAAAATAGCTAGTTGAACTCTTCATGTGTGGATCTGATGGATTTGATTCTTCGCACCTGACAATTTATGACTAGGCTATTAGGTAACTTTTCTAATGAACATCAGCAAAATAAATATATTAGGCATTCATACACTACTCTGAACTATAATTTTAAAGTGATTAATTATGAGTTTTGCAATCACTGTGTTCTAGAATGTTTTGACTTGAGCATATTGGTTTTATAAATTAAGACTATAAAATCTTATGCTAAAACCCCCAAATAGGTATTTCTGGTATATTCAGGTCATGTTTTCATATCTTACCACAATCAACAATACGTCACACTTACTTTACAAAATGCAAGCTCATACTTTATGTCTTCATAATCTTGGTCTTCAAGAAAAATACATTTCTTAAGTGTAAATACTAAATAACAATAGCATAATTTTTAAATATAGAGATTATCATTCAGTAACTGCCTTGGATAGCAACTGTTTGGAGTACAACTGTGATGAAAAAGTAACTTTGTGACCAACGCCCACATTTGCAACTTCACAGAAGCTCTCTGTCAAATGTTTACCATTATAATCACTATTGTGGCTGACTTGTTTTTCTTTCCACTTCCTCTTGCAGAGAGGTTATCTAACAAGCTATCTTTCCACAGCACAGCTGTCCTAAGCTCATGCTCAGTTCTGACCTTAATTAATTAGATCCCTCCCACTGCTGCCTGACACTGACAAGACCCTAATCATTTTCACACTAAAAAGCTTTTGCTTGCTTCCTCAGCAGCTCCTGCTTACATTCATAAGAGGACTAGGCAAACAGCAGAAGCTAGCCAATTCTTTTTGATGTGTATTCCTCACTGTGTTTCTGCTTTTTCTCTTATAATCTGCAATGAACCTACATGCAAACATTAATTCACTTTTTGTTAATTATCCCCGTGATGGGTGAGCATTCATAGAGTGGGCAGAAAGAAGTGGTGTCGGGGGAAGGGCTATAGAATTTGTTCTGTCACTCAACTTCCTCTTGAGTTGATCAGAAACCTTCCCTATTGTTGGCGCTCACCCAGCTTTTTAGGGTCGTATCCTTCTGATGCTGTATTACAAAGGGAAAGTTGAAATAGAATTGTAAGTGCAGTCAAAGTCATGTAATTTTCATTTAGAGAACACTTTGCTTAAAGACTGAGTCGCAGGAACCAATTGCAGCCACTAAATGAGGACCATCTATACTTTTGCTGTTCAGCATAGATTTATTACAGCAGAGGTAGTATTCAGCTGGTTCGGAACGGTTCACCTGAACCAGTAGTTGAAATCACGGGTGGCCCACTTGCCCCGGCTCTATGCTGTCCTACTTAAGCATGTTTTTGAGGCCGGGAAATCACCCATGCAGTGAACTGGTGGCAACAAAATGGGCAACCCACCACTGTATTACAGATATTACAAATTATACTGAATTGTCTTTTAAAGCAATCAAAAGCAGAGGTCAGGGAGTATTAGTACATTTCAGAGAAATAAACAGATGACGATAGAGAGAGAAGCAGCTTGCTTTATAAATAATAAGACAATTAAATCCTCATACATAAATAGCTTTTAATTTTAACTTATCTAAAAATCAAGCATCATATCAGAACAAAAAATGAGTTGAATAAAAAGAGTTTATAACTTATCTGAAATTAATCATTGTCCTCACCTTGATTTGTCTGTTGAAGTCACCACTACAAAATGTTTGCAAAGGTACGCTGAACTTTTTCCAGCAAGGATTTAAATTGTTCTTAATTACCTAAAAATGTTGTTTTAAATAGTTATAATCAATGTATATTAGGAAAGCACATATTTTCTCATATTTTTATATCTCTCCAAATAGTTTTTTTCCCCCAGGTCATGGTCATATTTGTCCAAGACAACCACAACATTACCTTATAGTCTTGCATTTTTTTCTGAAGTAACAATTGTATTTGTTGTAAGCCTCTATGCGAGATGGCATATACAGTATTCTTCCGTCTATAAGATGCACTCCCACACCCAAAAAAAAATGGGTGGAAATGTCTGTGCGTATTATAGAGCAAATGTTGCCAAAGCCCCGCCGACCTGCCACATTTTGGCCTCTGCCTCCCAGCAATTTGCCTCCTTGCAACAAACAGCCTGGTCAGCTTCAGCACAGCCTGATTTAGCATGAGCAGCTGATTGGCGGTTGGATCAGCGGCAATAGGCAGCAGTGCCTAGAATGGGCTGAAAATGAGATGCTCAGAGGCCAAAAATTGGGCGTGTGGATGTGGCAATCGGCGACGGCGATCTCCACAGCCTGAAACAGCTGATTGGTGGTACTGCAGGAGGCAGATCCAGCTGCCAATCAGCTGCTTGTGCTAAATCAAGCTGTGCTGAAGNCGATCTCCACAGCCTGAAACAGCTGATTGGTGGTACTGCAGGAGGCAGATCCAGCTGCCAATCAGCTGCTTGTGCTAAATCAAGCTGTGCTGAAGCTGACCAGGCTGTTTGCTGTTTACTGCAAGGAGGCAAATTGCTGGGAGGCAGAGGCAGATTTCCACCCCCCCCCCCACACACAGTTTTCCTCCCCCAAAACTAGGTGCGTCTTATGGTCCACAGCATCTTATAGTGTGAAAAATAGTGTTGAATGAAGGAAGGAATAAAATAATCATTTCTTAAATTAATACATTTATTTCCTTTCCAAAATTATATTTAAATGCATGCCTCAATTAATCATGGATGAAAGTTGAAGTTAATTACACCTACTAGATTGCTAGAGCAAGTTTGTGAAGCCTTCTTCTGGTGTCAAACTGACGGGTGTCAAACTTGTGGCCGATGGGCCAGATGCATCATGTACTGCCCATGCCCACCCCCAGTTTAGCGAAGGGGAGGAAAGTTGTGATACGTCATGTGATGACGTGTCATTGTGAGTATGACACCCCTGTTCTATAACATCCCAATTGACTTGTTTGTTGTTATTCAACAATTAACAAATTGAGTCCAAAGAAATGCAGGCAAAAATCTACTGTTCCTCTGAAAAGCTGTTCCTGATGGCCAGTATAGAATGAAGTGAGATGGCAATGAGAGGCATTTCCCAAATCAATGGAAATATTTTTTAATGAGGTAGGAAACTCTGCTTGCACAAAGTGCTTATACCTGACCTCTGCAAATAAGAGTTCAGTTTTGCAGCTGAATAATGTTAAGAGTTGATCTAATGCTTTGGAAATAGCCTGCCCAAAGCAGTCCAAACCTTACCTGGAGTCTATACTGTAGGCACTTAAAAAAAAAATTCTGTTAAAACTGTAGTGACTGCTTGCCTGGAATAAATCATTTCTAAAGCTTCTTTGCACTTACAGTTTGACTGAATCTATCCTGGCCCTTCCCATTGTCAAGCACTCCTGCTGGCCCTTGCACTGTCCCTATCAGTGGCCAAGAATCCCTGTCCTCATCATCACTTCACCTTGCACCAAAGAATGCAAGTGAGATAAACAAAGATGGCAGAGGCCACTCTGATTTCAGAAAGGCACTTTATGTGAGTCCTGCAAGCACCAAGGACTTTTATTCTTCCTTCTCCTTTTCATTGTCACATTTGCAAGAGACTGGAGCTTCAGAATAATAAAACAAGTCTGAAGCTCTGCAGAAACGTTTGAAGGAAGACATGGTAAATTAGAAAAGCCCATTCTACATCACAGGAAAACAAAAACCTGTCCAAATCAAGCCTATTTGCTGAATTTGAAACCCCACCCAACTTCAAACATAGACCTGTAACTCACCACTAATATATAACAACTCTTGATGGGCCAAGATGGAATCGCTGGAAATCTTACCTCTGATCGGTATACAAGCTGCCATTTTCCGCTATCACTCTGTTTATAGAATTCCAAAAATGGGTCCGATTTGCCTAAAAAGTCCTGTATTGGGAAAATAATTTTATACAGATGTAAGAAAAATAAAACATTTCATCTACAACAGTTCATTTAATGACCATTCAAAGTTACAACGGCACTGAAAAAGTGACTTATGACTGTTTTCACACTTTTGACTGCTGTGGTATCCCTATGGTTGTGTAATCAAAATTCAGATGCTTGGCAACTGATTCATATTTATGATGGTTGCAGTATCCCAAGGTCATGTGATCACCTTCTGCAACCTCCTGACAAGCAAAGTAAATGGGAATCCAGATTCACTTAACAACCGTTACTAACTTAACAATGGCCGTGATTCAATAACTTCGGCAAAAAGGCCGTAAATTTGGGCAAAACTCACTTAACAACTGTCTCACTTAGCAACATAAATTTTGAGCTTAATTGTAGTCATAGGTCAAGTAGTCTTTTGCTTGATTTTTTTGTCTGAAAGAGGAAACCTCAAATATTTTCATATTATTTTTTTCTATTCTATTAGAGCCAAAGTGGCACAGTGATTAGAGTGCAGTACTGCAGGCTACTTCAGCTGACTGATAGCTGCAGTTCGGCAGTTCAAATCTCACTGGCTCAAGGTTGACTCAGCCTTCCATCCTTCTGAGATGGCTAATATGAAGACTCAGATTGTTGGAGGAAATATGCTGACTCTGTAAACTGCTTAGAGAGGGATGGAAAAACACTATGAAGCAGTACATAAGTAAGTACTATTGCTATTGCTATTTTGGTTGATCCCAATTAAAACATTAGCTGACTGTAATAACTGAAACATAATTATGATGGCATTTTATTCTCTTTAGGAGTTCATTCTTTTCAATGAAACATTAAGAAAATTAGCCTATGTTATGTTTTAGTAAACTTAATGTCCAATCATTTCTTCCTTCATCTCTGTCTTCTTCCACATCTTAATTATTCCAATCTATATCTATATAGGGGACATTCAGGTTGCAGTTGTGTATAAAAACTGGTTAGTTATCTACCTGATTCAAGTGGCCATCTGTGAATTCATACATGTATGATCTGCACCTGCACAGAACAAGGTTTGTTCTTGAGATTTCTGGGTGGGGTAAGAGAGAGAGGGACATCTCCCCTTACTTCCAGTGACTGCCACTGTGGTTTCAAGAGGAACTTCCAAAGGATGGCTTATGTGATGGGACCAGAAGTTACTAAGGGCAGCACTATTGACCCAAAAATTAAGTCTATAATGTCTCAAAAATGTAAAAGCTGATCCTATCTAACTGTTTGCATAATAAAAAAGACTGACATATCCCTAAGGAATGCAGAAGGCACTAAGACTACTCTAGTAAAATTGATTGGAATAAGGAGCTGTTTATCTAGTCTATAAGCCAGAAAGTCTTCACTATTTTTTTTAAAGACATTCTAAAATTGTGGTCTCATAAAACTGAATGCAAAAATGTGGCCATAGATACTGAACATACAGTGGTGCTTTAAAGTTGTAATGTTCAATATTTCGGTACAAATATGACCTAAAAGATGAACTGTCCTCCATGCAAGTCCTAAAACTAGATAAGAACTATATAAAGATAAGCACTGATTAAACACCATTGTATGGGTTTTGTCTCATAAATACAGTCTATTGTGAAGTATAAAAAAGAAAGAGAAGTAAAGTGAGGGAAGCCCACTAAATGAGACTGAGTTGAACCCTCCTTTAGCTACAATCCAGGATAATGATAAGGAGATGAGAATACCAGACAGATGGTTTTCTTAGTGAAAGACATATAATTCTAAATTATGATAGACCTTTCCCATTATTGCTGTAATATTTAGCACTGTTCATCCTGGACATTACATAGATATTGAAGCACCCAGTGTTGATTGTTCTTTGTGCAGATGCAGTGAAAGGAATCTTGGCAGAGTTACATGCCACTATTCCTTAAAAGACAGGTTTTTTCTGCAGGGGGGGGGCAGCATAATTGATGTTAACTGTGGATTCAAAAGTACTGTCACATATTAAATTGCTGTTTCATCATACGTTCCTGCAAAAAGTATTTGGCTTTGTTGCTGTTTGTTAACTGGAAGTCTACAGAAGGAAGCTACCTCAAGCCAGAGGCACTATGGTACCAAATATGCAATATGTGTGCCCTCTGAATCCAGTGTCCATTTTGCCCTAGTTACTTAGGGAAGGAAAACTGAGCTGGAAGTGGCCAAGGACTCCTGGGAGTGCCTTTTGCTGCTGACAATGTCCTGTACCAGATAAAGGGAAGGATACTTTTCTGCTATCTAGCATAAGATATTGATATGTGTAAACCAGCAGCATGGAAGGAGGCATCCTTTATTAAAACACTAATAGCATTGGGATAATATAGGGTAGAAGTACTGCATACACACAACCTCAAACACCAGGTCTAGGCCTGTTGCCTCATTTCCATGTTCAAATGAGACTTATTGATTGCCTTTTCTGAAAAAAAAAGCAGAAAAGCTCTAATGGAAAAATAGGGACTTGTTTCCAACTTTCACCACTGGTGAGTCAGTTCTAAGATAAGTGATTCTAACTCAGTAGATTCTGGAGGTTCATTGCTGGATAGACTCAGGTGAAGGCTGAAGCTTTGGGATTAAAGTAATTTCAAAATTAGAAAATGACTGAACTACTAGAGTTATTTTTTTTACACCTCTTTTTACCTTTTTGTCTAAATTCCGAGCTTCAACATCAATAGAAACAACTCTGGTATCTTTAATCTCTTCTGCACAAATCTGCAGGTTGAAGGAAATGCTGTTTTAGTAATCTTGGAAGATATCCTATTAATGTACAGTATTTATTTAAAAATTAGTTTGATAACAAAAATGACAAACCAAACAATGGATACATATTAGCTTCAATAAAGGGAAAAATGTTTGAGACACATTAAACTCTAAAAGAAACAGATGTGTAACTTAATTCATATATTCACAATAAATTATAACTAAGTTTTCCTTTTACCGTAACAATGCCTTTTCCTGCAGGCTTTCCTTTCTTCAACATTAAAGGCTGAACAAGTATTTTACTTGATACAATCTAAAAGATAAATTGCATCTATTATTCAAATTATACAAGGAAAAATATGAAAATATGTCATAATTATTTATATTGTAAAAATCTGAACTTCATTAATCTTTCCTACTAAAAGATTACACTGCATGGTTATTTTAGAAGAAAGCATTTCTTGGGGAGCCTGGTAGGACAATTTTTAATCAGCATGGATTCTCAAACTATGGATTTAGATGTCCAGGAGATATGAGTAATTTAGAAGGGCAGTCACAAATTTGTGGATTTTTTTTGACATCAAACCATTTTTACTGTTACTTATTACTGTTACTTATAAATGCAATCTTCCAAGTGAAACAGAGAAATAATAGGCTGTACAGAATTCTGCCACATGGCATCCAAGAGAGACAGGAAGTCCTGCTTCCTCTCAACAAGAATAACAAAACAGAAGAAAGAACAGTGATTCGCTATCTCTTTTCTTAACTTAAAGCTTCTGTATACTAGTATCCCCTTTTATTTATTCATTACCAACAAACAAACAAAAATCTAAACCTGTACTTAACATTTTATATAGTACTAGCAATCATAGTTGCTTACAGTACCTGACCCAGGGTACATTCAGCTCCTCCAAGGTAATCATCATCACTTAAGTCATATGACTTATTATCAATATCATATATTCCAAATTTCAGCTTCTGAACTTTCTCAAAATAATAATCAATTAGCAGCTTTTTTGAAAATTGAGGATTCTGGCAATTCTTTATTTTTTCAGTTCGATCCAACTAGGACAACAAAAAATAAAAAGAGCTGCTTAACACACAATGCATTGTGAAAAAACAGATTCCTATATAGCAAATGAAACAAACAAAATGTTCAAAAGCTATGATGTTGATATAGTTACTTACCATGCACATCTAAATTATATTAAAGTAAGCAAAATATCTTTACAATCCCCAAGGCATGTCACAACTTTTGAGCACCCCTAACATTTGGAAATTGGAAGTTGAAAAATTTGACACGCCCTAATATAACATTCCCCTGGACTTCATTTCACTCGGGGAGATCAGTAGCGTGAGGCAAGTTGATATCCAAGGAAGCAAGTCTATTTTTTTTTCCTAAGCAAAAATGTTCAGAAAAACATGATGCACTTTTTCTATATATAATTAGAAAGCATACCTCACCAGTAACAATGAATACTTTTAATCTATTTTCATTTTAACTGAAATCAAATTTACAGAAATCAAATTTACAGAATTATGTGTACCTACCATATATTGGTCCATTATAAAAATTTATGCTATGGGACAGAAAGATTTTTAATAGGACCAACTTGTGATTGAATAAAATGTTGAGTTTTCCTATTCCATTTCAAGGTAAAAAAGATAAAAGAGTCCCTGCAGATTTTACTCTGCTAGTCAATGCTGAGGAGATGTTGTTGCTAATGTCTGTTTCAAGGCCACTGAGCTAGCGTTATCTGAAGACATTTCCGTGGCCAGCATGATGTCATGGAACGCTGTTACTTTCCCACTGAACTGCTACCTATTTATCTACTCAAGTTTGCACGCTTTCAAACTGTTAGGTTGGCAGGTGTTGGGGTGAGGCTGGGAGCTCACCCCATCACATGGCGCTTCAGTCTCAAACCTGGGCTGCTGGCCTCACAGCTGACAAGCCCAGCATTTTAACTGCTGAACCACCACATTGCCCCATTCTATTTCAAACAATATATTAAATAAACCATATATTCATATGTACATGAATGAAAAAGAAAGAAAAAACATAGTCTTTGAGATATTGTGTCCAGTATTTTTTCTACATAATGCTGACAAAGGTAAAAGGAAAGCAAAAAAGAATACAACCTGCAGCAAAGTGAATGGATTCTATTAAAACGACAGTTAGGTTTGGGAAGATCTAAAGAGCCTGACTGGGGTCAGATCATCCTGGAGAAGGTTTGTCTGTGTAATTGCTAAAAATAAAGTTCTTGAAACATGTTATAGCCAAATGCTGCTTCAAATAATTAGAAGGAATAAATAAAATGCAATAATAATGCTTTAAATATTACAAAGAAAATGTATATTATCTGCAACAGATAAAAACCACTATGTAAGGAATCCAAAAAATTGAGTAAGAATTCCTTTCTCATTGCAGTCTATTTCTTTTTCCCATTTCAAACTATTCAATAACAAGGAGCAAAAATTATTTAACAATAAATACATTTTAAAATAGAAAATGTTAAATAACTAGTTAAATAACTAAACAATTGAATGTACTAATAAAACTCATTTTGGGATAATTTAATTGTGTTTATGGTTGTTTATGGGGACTGAAATGTAATGCATTTATCACCAAATTTGCCAAAAATGGTTCCTTGGTGTTGTTTCCACTGAAGTTAACTTAATATATTTAAAACCAATCTCTATCAACAGGTTTTCCCTAAATTTATTGTATGGTAAATTTATTACCATCAAAAATTCCTTACTTCAGTCCATTGATCGCCACCAACATTTTGAAGCAAGACACACAGAGGATCAGATTTTGAGCCAACATCTTTATCAATCAGATTGTCACAGGATATGGACAGTTCAACCTTGATCACGCACTGAGCCATCTATAAACAGATTGGAAGAAAAAAAGAATAGTCATTAAATGATAAATTTAGTGTACAATGCTTAAGGAATCTGGATTGATTTATATATCAATGCATTTGTTGATAATGTTCTTTATTAGTTCCGTATTGGTTTCTTATTGTTACTATTCTTTTGGCATTTAAACCAATCAAAGAATGGAACACAAATGTTAACAAATCTGAATGAATTTGGCTGAATACCAATCCTTATGTACAGCCAAGTCTTTTTCATCAAAATGTATTTATAGTATTATGAAAATAACCATACAGCAACCACTTTTAGCATGATAAATATATATTCATCAGATACATAATCTGATCAACAGGCAGATACATAATCTTTTGTTTAATATTGTTTTCATAGTAGTACTTTAAAACAATACAAAACAGTAGATTCCACTTACATTTTTACTTTTTAAAAAACCAATCAAAGAATGGAACATAAATGTTAACAAATCTGAATGAATTTGGCTGAATACCAATCCTTATGTACAGCCAAATCTTTTTCATCAAAATGTATTAAATGTATTTTAAAAGGTATAGAAACAGATAAAAGTTCAGAGAACTTAACTTTTAAGTTTTTCTTCCTAATGTAAATAATTTCAAAAGCAAAAAAGGACTAAACGATAGCAACCATGTCAGCAGTCCCATGTAACACACAAACACACAAAAAATCACTGCTGCAGAGTGCCAAATGCATAATCATAACAACAATGAATGAAATGCTACAATCTATTCAGTTTCTGTTGTTACAGTTCTGTCAGTCTCACTCCACTCCCAGATTCTCAAAATACTGATACCGCACCAGTTTCAGACACATTAGACCAGATATACCAATATAAAGCCATCTGCCTCTTGAATACATGGACACATAAAATATAAATGCATGTTTTGGCTACATTGAATCCCAAATCTGAACAACCATAGAAAGCACAATATGAAACAGTTTCTGCATACTTAAAAATAAATAGAAATTTCAGCTATTAAAATATTAATATATACAGCTAAATATTTTTTTAGTTTTTTTCAGACAACAGTAGTCTCCAAATAAAAACTATGTAACACATTTGTTACATACCAGTAATTGTTACAAAAAAACATGCGTTGCATTGGTGACATTTCAATAGTTTTTTTACAATAACCTCATATTGATGAATAACTGAAAAAAACCATTTCAAAAGTTAAAATAGTTTATCACTTACTTTGAAAAGACATTTAATTTTAAAAATCAAATTTCTAGATAATTGTGCATCCCAATGTCTAATACAGTATTAGACAATAGCAAAAAACCAAAGAATTGAGAAGATAACTGACTTGATACCTGAAAACTATTGCGAACATCTCTAACACAAGAAACACATTTAAGCCAATGAATATTAGCTTCAAACACTAAAGCATCAAACTACACTTACATGCACACAGTGGGATGTGTGAACAGTCAGCTGCTTTATGTAATTCTCAAAGCACAGTGTGAAAGGTAAACCTGAATACCAACCAGCTTATATAAGAGAGCATGTACTAGCATGCTAACAATACTTTGTATTAAAATGAAGAAAAATATTTGTTTTTTCTAGGGACTGCCATATAATATTGCAGTGAAAGTCAGAACAAACAAGAGACACCCTATCAGATCCAGAAATTTAAAATTCAGCAGTTTAAGACTTAAGTATAGAAATTAAAAGCTCGTTCTTTTAATGTACGGTTTCCTGTATAGTTCTATCAGTAGTCAGTTGGGTACATTCTTGCTCTGCCACTTTGCTCCATTTTATTTTTTTCAAGGTTTCATTGCATGCTAGTTTATTAATCCATTGCCAATTTTAAATTATGATATTTGGCTATTCTGTCCTCCTTACACTTTTTTTCAATTTTCCCCCTTTTCTCCCAATTTTCTTCTCTAATCATTCTCTTTAACTTTTGCTTTGAGTTAATTGCCTATTTCTGTCCTACCTTCTTGCCCTTGTGACTACCGATTATAAGCAATTCATACAACAGGCATTTTTGTCATACTGGAAGCTACCGTTGTTAGTGGTACTTGCTGCTTACATAAGTAGAACCACTGACTCTAAGACAACAGTAAGACTTTTTACTTAGGACTTAGGCATATTTAGCATCTGGGGCAGTTCAACCTATTTTTTTTCATGGTTTTTGTGTCACATCATTATCCACTGACTTTTGGATGTTATTCCCTAAAAGCATCAATGGAATGGGCCCCACTCCCTTTGTTACCTAAAGCCTTCTCAATTGCAGTCAACAACAAATAACAAAACAGGGACCAAAAACGGGCAGCAATGTGCAACAACCCAAATGCCAACTGGAACAATAGTAGAGCGGATCATGCTGTGTTCTCAGGAAACTCATTTCCTTTAAAGCAGAGTAGCACATGTTAAAACTAAGGGAAAGCAATGCCACATCAACCCATTCTGGATGCACAGCAAGGACACGTTGTATGGGCAAGATTCAGAGCAGCATATTCTTCTGCAAAGTCCAGTAGTGGATGGAGGTACAGTTACTGGGTAGATCTGTCCCTAGACTTAGTTCCCTAGTATCCCCATATAAGGCACCACTGCATTCATAATCTGTGATGGTTTGACTGTAACCAAGCTAGTATTCCTATAAAGAAATTCAACTGTCAGCATTTCTTGCTGCAGGCTTTGTTTCCTGAACAACTATAATGTCCATGAACGTTCTATGCTGAATCAGTTTATTACCAAAAGCTTTGCTGCCACAAACATGTAATTCACATCAAATCAGATAAACATTAATTTGTGACAGTAATTGTCAGACGTGCAAATATGGAAGATTGAAAAAAGAACAGTAGGAGTCAGTGTAATATATGTATCTTCCATACCTAAAGCAAGCACTGTTGTTATTTACTGAGTAACAAATTTCTAACAATAGAGTCCTTGTTGCTCTTTGAGTTTTGGTTATTTGCTTGTAGATGTTTCATTACTAATTTAGGTAATATATGTTGTGTTTTAGTACTTTTTAGTTATTTCACATTTTTTTTCTGTATTTTGTCTTTCACTCCCTTTCCCTTACTATTGTAAGCCGCCCTGAGTCCCCTCAGGGAAAAGGGCGGCCTATAAATGCTAAATAAATAAATAAATAAAATTCTCCTTTCTAGCACTGAAGATATACATATCAGAAATGGAGGAAGCTGTAATGTTAGTAGGGAAGATACTTGAAAATGAGAAAAAGAAAAGTAAAGGCCAGGCAGGATGCTAAAAGTAAAACTGGGAGTAATCTAAGGGAGGCATTGAAAAAGCAGAAAATACAATAATTTGCACTGACTTTTCATTTGAAAGGATCCTTTAATTGTTCTCCCGCCCCATCTATATCGATGGGTTTACCTGCAATTGCAGTGCTGCTGACTTGACACTGATATTTAATTTACAGCACTATTTGTCCAAGAGCTACTTCAAGAGAATACAATTAAGATACTCATACTAAATCATCTGGTAGTTTTGTCAAATTGACGCTTGCAAGAGCCCAAAGCTACAGACATCATTGTAAGCCCTACAAAATGTATATACCTCTGTATCTTACTATGTATATATCTGGACCATGAAAAAAACAAAATATTAGATGGAATATTGTTATAAAATGGCATGTTTAAAAAAATGAAAACACAGCAAAGCTTGACTTCTGGTGGCTGCAAAGACACACAAATGTACTTTTCTTTGGTAACTGTATAGAAGTGGCTTGCCACTGCCTTCTGGGAAATTTGCTCAATTCCTTAGGCTAGTCCCAAAGATTTCTGGTAGTCTTCCATTCAAGTGTTAATCAGTACTGGGTTGTTGAAGGTTTTTTTCCCGTTCACGTAAGATCAGCTAGATGGTATATTAATTTACCATCTCAAAGATCTCAAAGCCCAATGGCTCAAGTTAGATTTTACAGTATTTACATTTCTGAGAAAATGTTATCCTGTACTTCCTGATAGTAGAATGAATGATGTTTTTGCCTTATTACTCATGTTGAACTAGCCGGTTAAAATACTCACCACCATCCTTTCAGGAAACTTATGCCTTTGGGATCACCAATACTGCCAGCCACTCTTATTTTGATTTTAAGGGATGGGAAGGGGTGTGTGTGTGTATTTAAGCTTCTAATGGGCCCATCCTTACCAAAATATTTTTCATTTGCCTTGTTACTATAATATTTTCCAATCTGAACCTTTCTAGATGTAATCCAAGACACTCCAAGAGCAGTTCAAGATATTTTGAAAAACTCAAGTTGAAAAAGGCTATGCTAATCAGAATATGTAATAGTACTCCAAGAGAGATTTAAGTAAATGAACAAATGAGAAGCTGTTTTAGTCTGACTGCTACTATACATGTAAACTGCAAACAGTATAAAGAAAAGTGAAGAAACATAAAAGCCTCTATAAAGTTATGTGATTTTACACATTTCATAACCAAGAGGGATCTACTCTGGATGTTTGAAGAGTTTACACTCGTGGCAGTTAAAAATTACTGGTGTCTAAAAGCCATTTCATCATCATCAGCCATTCAGTTGTGTCCAACCCATCCGGCCACTTTATAGATCAGCGTTCTCCATCCTCTCTGATTTGCATCACCTGCTTCAGATCTGCCATAGCCCATCCCGTGGCTATTTACATTTGGTTTATATGATTCAAATAGCTCAAAATAAGTTCCCTAAGCTACCCATTGCATGGAATCTTATTGGTGTATATACACATTACTTCCTGAAGATTGAGATACATGTAACCTTCAGTGTGACTTACAGTAAAAAAGTCAAAATTTGGAAGACACCTCATCTTCTCTTTTGCCATAGCCCCATGCTTTGTTTGTGTGCATGATCATCCCTACAAACGTTAACAGCATCTCAATTTGTACCCATATTTTTACCATAATGGAGCCCAGAATTCCCATCGTAAGTCATGCTAGTGATAAGCCAAGGCATCCAATAGGACTGAACCTATTTTTAAACCTTTTGCAGTGGTCATTAATGAAGCAATGATT